TACAGGAGGCCTTTGTTCACCCCCCGGAGCCGTGTGAGACACTTTTTTTATGAATGGGCGCTTTTTATTTAACTTCTTTTGGACTGAAGCACTGCAACACCCGATGACTGCAATGATAGAGCTTGGAATAGCCAGGACAATTTTTTTATCTAACTCCGACTGGATTCGTCTGAAAGAAGAAAGTCATATACACCTAGGATGCCTCGGGGGTGAGAAAAACACAGCCTAATTTTCATTTTTGGGTGAACTAACCCTTTAAGTTATATGCAACTTACTGTCTTTTGAGGTCCCTGAGCTCGTCTTTGACATTATTTTCTCGGTTGATGACACCACGGATGAGGTCTAGGGCTTTCTCAGATTCTGCTAGAGAATCGGCTGCAATGGTCTCCACTGTCACTGCCTCACCTTGGTGCCTGGCAAGAAAACACCCTTCAGTCAGACTTTTTTCAATCAGTCATATATTTTGGATGCACAACAAGATATGTACTGCAGATGTGCTGTGGAAGTCTAATCAGTGGTTAAAGGCATTTTTAATGCAATTGTTCTCAACTATCTTACCATGGGCAGCAAGGGAAAAAACAATGCTAAATGCAAATAAGGCAACAAATGTAATCCAATTGATAATCACGCATTGTTATGATAGCAAATTCAATCCATTACTTATTTTTTTTATTTTGTACAATAAAAATGTCTTCACATGATGTTCCCTATAAAGTCTGGGTCCTGAAGCAAAAAAGGTTCAGAACCACCACATTTTAATGTGAAACAGTTGGAAAACTATTAGTGCTTTTGTTGGCTAGTATATATATATATATATATATATAAACACCCAAAAAATACTCACAGCCTGTTGGATGTCCCGTTTGGCCTGTTGCAGTTTTAACCTGATCTCACTGATGAGTTTTTGGATTTCTGAAACTTCTGTTCTGTACTGCTGATCCTTGTTTCTGATCCCATCCACTGTTGTCAACAAAGCCTCCATTTTTCTGTCCTCTCTCAGCTGGGATCGGCTAATGCTCACCAGTTTATCTTGAAGCTGTTTCTCAGTATCTATTTGGTATAAAAAGCCAGTGTTAAAAACAGACAATAAACTAACTAAAAACAATAAATTAAACAAGACAAATAAAGGATTTTCATACTTGTGAGTTCATTTGCTCTGATTTCCAGGCTTTGCACCATGACCTCTGCAGCCCTAATAGCTCGTACCATCTGAGCATCATTGACTGGTGCATCATCACCTCCAATTCCTTTAAATAAATTCTCCATGTCTTGCAGCTGTCTTGCGTAAACCTCTATCTGAAAAGAAAAACCCCACAATGTTCGTCATTTATTTACCACCATTTATCGCCATTTATTCATATACCTCTACTTTAACAGGTGTGCAGCGACTGGATCCAACGCTACAGTAAATGACATAATTTAATGTTTCCAATCATTTTTAACCTTGAGTGAGCAGGCTTTTTTTTCTCTTGTTATACAGATTTGGTAAATGTAACAGCAGTGAGATTTTGTGCGTGCTGGTCCCTGGGCAAACAGCACATTTAATTCCACCCACACAGGCAGTGTTCAAGATCAGCGCCAAAGCAACATACCGTTATATCACTCTCCAGATAATAAACAATCATCAAATCCAGCAGGACTCACTCATTTTTTCTTTCACACAGCGTAGAGTGTAAAGTGCTTATTTTGACATGATGATATTAAATGATCATTATTTTCTCATGGTTAAATCACACACTCATACATATATTTTATGTTGATATATATTATATTTTAAAATATATTAACAGAAGTTATTTTAATAATTTAAAAACATTACTGTTTTTACTGTATTGCATATAATTCAATAATTGAAGACTTGGTGGTGAGCATAAGAGACTTCATTCAAACTACATCAAACTCAAATTTATTGACCAACTTCTAAATGATTTTTCATATATACATTTCATGTAAATTACTTCTCATATCATATTAATATATTTTATTAGTTTATTTTTCTTTATTTTGTTTTCAGTTCTGCAATGTCTTACCTTGCTCTTGACTGGGTTAAAGCAGGAAGGACATGTTGATTCGTCACACTTGAGTCCATCGTAACCTTCCTTACACTTGCACTGTCCTTTATCATTGCATGAAGTTGACACAGAACCCTGTCGGTTGCAGTTACAAGCTACAGGGAGAAAAAAGCAAATCTTGGGTGACTTTCACTGTTATGGATTTTGCATTTCACTTCACTAGTACTATAAGCAACATTTATTCAGGCTTGTGACAGTTACAGTATTTTTCCATACCCTGACATGGCTCTGTGGGGTAACTGTGGTAGTATCCATCTTCACAGTTCTCACACTTGGGGCCGGTGCTGTGACTCAGGCACTTCCGACACTCCCCTGTTCGGCGGTCACAGTTGCCGACAGCATTCTGGTCCACGTGGCCATAACATTGGCAAGGCTGGCACTGTTTGGGAGGGCCGTACTCTCCCAGAGGGTCTCCATAGAAACCGTCATCACAGATTTCGCAACGAGAGCCTTTAAAAATGTGTCATTAGTAAATATGGGGAATAGCTCCATAATGAAACAAAATCGGTTGAGCGGATCACTCCGCTGTGGCGACCCCTGATAAAGGGGAGCAAGCTGAAGGAAGAGAGAGTGAGAGCTCCATAATGAAACAGCACAACAATTTAGTGCAAAATCATACCGAAATAATACGATTCACACTGTTATTTTATAGCTAAATTGAAATTTCAGCTAAAGTTCTTAATAAAATCTAATGCATGATTTTTATAATTCTACTTCTATAGTGATTTTTGACACTGTACAGCTTGACAGACCCAATTACTTTTATTATATTGAAAAGGACAGCCAGGAAATTAAACAAGTTTATGTACATAATAACAGCATTTTGGGTGCACTATCCCTTTAAGAACATCTACGCCAATGTTTCCTTATTCTCACCTGTAGTCCCTTGGGGACAGCGAGCACACATCACCTCCTGTGTTCCTGGAATAACATAGCAAGCCTCACCCTCGGGACAAGGACACTTTTGGCAGGAGTTGGACTGTTGGCGGTTGACATAATAACCTTTAGGGCACATCTGCAGATTTGGTATCTCATCAGCTGAGTAACAGCCTCCTGTAAACACAACAAATCCACCTTTCTCAGCTCAGACTTCTTTTTCATAACTGAAATACGAACATTCACTAAACACTGAAAAAACAAACCTGTTTCTGGATCACAAGTTCCACCCTGACAGGAGCAGGGATCACAGGGGCTTTGGGGGCCTTGGCCAGGGAAACGTCTCCGGTATCCAGTGGCACAGCGTTCACAAAACAGTCCATCATAACCAGCAGGGCATCTGCACTTTTCTACCCAGACAGCAGGGGTGCCGGGACCCAGTTTAGCTGACACCAGAGAGACATCATCCAGATAACCACGTCCTGTTGTGAAAGCAGATATACAATTATTTTATTCGGTATTATGTTATGTGTGCACATGTTTTCCACAATATATGCAGCTCAGTGATACATTATTGGAGAGGAGAGATTAAAGACTCACCATTTTCACCAAATGTTCCTCTGATTTTAATGGCTGTAAGGTTGCTCAGAAGTGTTTGAAATTCTGTGGATGAGAGCTGTGGTTTCCATTTGCTGCCAGGCTGTTCGTCAAGTCTATGAAGTATAATATGCATTAGAATATTTATTATCAGCCTCAGTCATAGACCTTTAAACAGAACAATCAAAATATCTCTAAAATTGGCCAATAACTGATATGGTACCCATATATCATGTATCCCTAAAAATTCATAGACTTAAACAGAGGCAGGAACCAGGGCAAGGTAAGCACCACTCACATTTCTTCAGAAAACGCAAAGATCTAGTTATTACAAATGATGTGACTCACTTGAATGTGTAGGTGATTTTCTTGCCACAGTGCACCACAGTTCTCAAGTCTCCTAGTGAAGCAGACACCTTAAGACCTGCTCCTTCTAAGATAACATCAGAGATGGAAGGACGACGGACACCTCTGTCCAGACGCAGAGAGAAGCTGAGCGTCTGACCGTAGCTCATTGCCTGATTCCCCAGGTAAGATGCTACATTAAACACAGAAGCACAGGAGTCAAGGAAATGGCAATACATCACTGATGGTATATTACTGATATTAAGTAATAAAAAATGTAATCCACATACCTGGAGCAAACAGATAAACAGGAAGGACCTCCTTAGAGATAACCTCAAGGTCTTTGTGAGTAGGAGACCACCTGAATTGCACTTGTGAAGGGTTCACGCCTTGAGCAGTTGTGGCTCGCCAGCCCTCAGGTCCTGTGAGACGAATTTTTGAATTAAATCAGCAACTAAAACTGAATGTGATTTACTAAAATCAGTGAGTACACATCATGCTCACCATTTTCAAAAGTTGAAGTGATGTTGTGAATGGAATATCCCTCAGCTGAGGAGCACACACTTGAGTGGCCATTGCAAAAGCAGGGCAGGCACTCCTCTGTATTATACGTGAGGCGGCCACTGTTACGTGACCGGCAGTTTAGCCTGCATAAGAAGAACATTGATTGAACCAAATAATTCTACATAGTAATAATGTAATTAGATGCCGGTCAGAGATGTAAGGCTCACTGTTCTCACCTCAAAGGCTCGCATCCACTGGCAGTGACTGGAGAGCCATAATGACAGCGGTCACACTTGTCTCCATAAACTCCTTGTTTACAAGTACACCGTCCCTCATTGTTGCATACTGGTCCTCGAGAACCTGAACAGAACAAAGTATATGCATTTTGTACAACTTTACTCACATAATGCCTATATAGAGTGGACCCAAAAATATTTGGAAACTATTACATTTGTATAACTGTATTTTCATTATATAACAAAACAAGTATCATTTATTTTAAAGAAATTTAGCATAAGCATACCTTTCAATCAATATATTTCAATGAAATTCAATTAAATTAAATTTCCTAGATTTTTAAATATGAAACAATAAATATACTGTTTAAAATGAAGCTCAAAAGTCTTGGACATATTCTGGTTGTCAAACTTTGAGGAACATGTTCATATGTTAATTTGATTATGGTTATTCTGCTAAGACAACAGTGTGAACTTGAGGGAAACTGGCTTCATACCACGAAAAATGACCTTGGGACCAACTGGCTAAAAATAAATTAAAAAGTGCCTCATAAAAGTCAATTCTGAAAAAAAGCTCTGGCGTAATTTGTTAGCAAATGCTGCTTGGTATGATATTTTACATCTAATACAATCGAACTGAGACATTTTTAGACAAGGCAAAAGCAAGTTTGTAAAAATGTCTGTAAAATCTCCCACTGTGCTAAATAGACCTTATGTGTCAGAGAAACAAGTGCGCAGCCATCTTTAAAATTTTGTCTTTGAACTTCCATTTTTGCGGTAGCTCTATAGCATCACTGTTGAAGAGCTGGTGAAGTGGATTAATTTATAGCAGAGTTAACATTATCATGTGCAAAGGATTGTTCACCCCAAAAAATGACAAATCTTTTCCTGTATGACTTGGAACATGAAAGGAAAGTCAATGCAATTTTGTTTCTGGAAGAACTCTCTTTTAGTAAAGAAAAAAACACACTTCATCTTAAAGTAGCAGCTCACCTGCCGTGTTGCAGTTGCAGGGCACACAGTTGTCTCCTGCCCTCTGGTGGTAGTATCCTTCCTTACAGTTTTCACAGTGCCGCCCTTCGGTGTTTCCCTGGCAGTTTATACAGTAGGGTCCCAGATGATCTGCTCTGCAGTATTGTGCCTTCCCATGACATGAACAGGCAGTGGAGGCTGCAAGACAACATGCCAAGATGGGTTACTTGGTCTCAACTTTTTTTCTGTTCAAAGCAGGCACCCATAAAGACGTTCTGTGGTTAAGGAATCTGCTGAATAAGTAGACATTTTACAGTCTTTGAAAAGATAGTATCACTGTGCATTGTCAAAGTTAACTGGCGCCAGTCAAGTTATTGCTGTGGTATTGCTGTGAGCATGGGAAAGTAACATCTAAAGACCGTCTTATACCTATAAAAACAAACAATTTCCACAAATGCAGAAAATTACACCCCACCCTAAGGTATACTCACTCACTCTCCAGGATATTATATGGACAATTACTCAAACCCACAAACCATAAGCTACCGCAGAATACAATGACAAAACCACACATGTCTGGGGATCAACAAGTATCTGAAAGACACTCCGGACATCAAGAGGTGGACATCTTTTCAAAGGGAAGAAGAAATGCCCTCAGCTGTGTAAACACATTAGATCATGTAGGATTACCTGCAATAAAACAACCTAGTCCATGTTCAACCAGGCCCACAGTGTGTTGAACACACAGACGATTATGGATGTTAGATAATAGACTGGCTTTGTGGGTAGGACAAGCTCACTCTTGTAGGTAATTTATCGAAAAAGGTATAATGAGGTAATATAAGTCAGCATGAACCAAACCTCATCCACTCAGAACAGACATTCCATTCCTCCAAACCGGGCAACATCAGGGTCCCTCACAGGTGAGCAACACAGGCAGGCAGCAACAACAGCCTCTCAATGAGAGACAAAACTACCCAGCTGTTAGACAACAGTCATCCTTACAGGGCCCCAGGACAATTTTTTTTTCCCGCACAGACTGTGGTGTTGTGTTTCCAGTTTTGAAAAGTTTTTAGTTTCTTTTTTATTATAATTTTTATTATTATTAATTTGGCTTGAGAAAGCCAATTTACTGATCTGCTATTTAAGCTGCTTCTTCTTCTTCTGAACCAAAATTAGAACACTAACTCCTCCTACAGCTTTAAAGCTACAACCACCAAACTCGGGTCAGACCTTCAGACTGGTCTGACTCGGTGTGCTATACTTTTCTAACTGATCCGGATTGTGGTTTTCGTAAACCAGACTATCAAAACCACCAAAAATCCCATAGACTTTCATTGAGGGAATGAAAACTTTTATACAGTGAGAAATATGGTGTATTTAAGCTGTATTGCTATAGCAAAGCTTAACAACTCTCTACTGAAAAAACAGCTAAAACCAGCCTAAGCTGTTTGGCTGCTTTGGTTGGTCTCCCAGGCTGGTTTTAAAGTGGTTTTGGCCACTTTTTAGCTGGACAGGCTGGTCTTGGCTGGTCAAGCTGGCAGACCTGCTAAAAGACCAACCAGCTATTTTCAGCTTAAACAAGCTAAGACTAAACAACCAGCCTAGGCTGAAATATTTAGGCTACAATTAAATTTTCCTCCAACAAATTGCTTTTTTAAACTACAAAAATGCAAAAATTCTTTCAGTTAGTATTAAGTCATAAAAACGGCATATAATAATTATAGAATTTGGGAGGGGAGTTGCCTAGAAGTAACCTAGACCAGGACATTCATAATACAGGTGTATCATTATTAGGCTACAATTTAAATCATGTTAATTGTATCTGGCTAACAGATTTTCCCCTGATCAATATGATCATTATGATGAGTATTGTGGTTATCATTAGACTATTTTTATGATTGTTATATGATGTATGAGTCAATAACTCTGTCAGTAGTTTTTGTTACATTGCAATGTACTGTAATTATAATCTACAGTAAATACAGATAAAGTGGGACACTTTCTGTCACTAGTGTTGTTTTAAAATACGATGCCAAATGGATTAGCCACTCAATACCATACCATGTTACACTGCTAAATTTAAAACTGAGAAAAATATGAAGAAATGTTAAATACACAAACTTATTGTAACAGCAGTCTCACGTTCACACCTTAAAGTAGGCTAGCTTTCTTGGACTGAATTTATTCTGCAATCTGCCTATCAGTTATTAAAATAAAATAAAAAACTAGCCTTGCTCACAAATCACTCAAGATTTAGCAACACTTGCAAAGCAAATTAGTACTACTGTACGTAGTTGTCAACACACTATCATAATGTCAAAAATGAATTAACAGGCAGGCACAACTTTACTTACATCGGACTGTTCCGTGAACTGGAGACCAGATGCAAACTGCGCAAAGAAAGAACCAACTGATCTTCATTTTCCACATCCAAGAAACAAGATTTAATTCCACGTTCTCTCTTTTATAATGTCTGCTTAAGGATGCTGGCGGTCCGTTAGTCCTCGGTGCGATGAGACGGACACCTGACGGTTCTGCCAGCTGATCCCACGCCGCGCACTTAAAAACTTCCCACCTGACAAGCGCGGACACGTCAAGCTCCGTGTCTCAACTGTTCATTTACTCACGAGTGATTCACAGATCATATGTGCCTGATAGGAAATATATCATGCCATTCCTCACATAAAGACGTGTTTGATTAAAAGCCTATAACTACAGCACCAGAACAATAAACCCCATTGTTCATCAATGCTTCAGCTTATTTGGATCTGATATTAAAAGTAGGCTATTAATGCTTGAGGCTGTGTGTAATAGATATAAGATCCATAGTAGTGTTATCAATAAAATGATACACAAAACGTGAAACAGGCAAAAGATACAAATTAGATAAACCCATTTTTTTTAAGTATTATTTAAATTCATGTTCATATATTTTTGAAGAAAAAAAAAAGATTTTAATTTGGCAGCCAAAAGTTAAGTAGCCTAAAGGTTGTTCCAAATTGCTTATGCCAAAACTATGTTCTCTTTAAAAATCTTAAAATATCTATTATTTAAATTATTATTATTGTTATTTCTTTTGCTTGAGGTTTTTTTTTTTTTTTTTTTAAAGCAAACTTCTGAAGTTCTAGGAGTTCATATCAAGGCAAGAGAACCACACCCAACTGAAAACCAAACCACCAAACCGAAGCCATAGAAATGGAGCAATGGCAAACAGTTTGAGATTGCCGTTTGCTTCTTTACCACACAATCATCTACAGGTATATTTAACAAGAGTAACTGATCCACAATAAGCTTTGCATGTTAGGGCACAACAACTTTCAATACATCAAGTGAACTTAAAGAACATACTACAGACATTAAATGCCCGGAAAGTACACTTATTGTGAGCTTTATCTTATTTAGTAATCCGTGTTTGTGGTTTACAAATTGTATATTGTCTGTATTGGCACTGAATCACTGTTGTGTTGAACTGTGTACACAGATACTGACTTACTGTGGCATTGAATCATATGCCATTTGGCATCTTTTTAATTATATAGTTATATAGGCTACAGTCTTGAAAATGAGTAGTAAAGAAAAAAAACAGAACTCTGACTGTTGCTTAGATATCAAAACCACAGCTGTCATCAAAACACCGGGACAAACTGAACCGCACTGGAAGAGTCAACACTGTAGAACAGTCAAATATATTGGAGTCATGAAAAATCCACGGCCTGAGGGCAGTGAATTTTCTACTGTGTGCAGCTGGCTACGCCCTGTCACGAACTCTCCGAGAGGAAAGGAAAGACGCTGGGCTGAGTCAGAGGTGTCTCAGCTACGCATTACCAAAACACACCCAAACATCCAGCGCCACACATCTTTATCGTCCACACCTTGTTCCTCACACAGACGCAGTGAGCCCCACCTAAAACTCTCCAGGTAAACATGCTCATACCCTTTCCCTCCGGCCGCAGAGAACAGCATGGCGTAGTGTGAAGCACACCCTGTCTACCTCTCGCAGGACGCTGCCAGCACCACACCCTCACACACACTACAGGACAGGATAAGAAACACAGAAAGAAGGTAGAGAATGAGGAAGTCTCATAAGCTCTCTCATATATCACTGAGGACAGTATAAATACAAGAAATAACCTGCCTTTCAGTTATTACATCAAGAAAACACGGCAAATTTTATGTCCTCCATAGGTTTTGTACTGATCGATTGGAGAGCATATACAGTGGCCCTAAAATGAATCTGGACATTTATGTCACATTTAAAAATGCATGAATGTCATTGCATGAACATATAATGTGTCATCTATTTAAAATTTAATAAATAAAAATAAAAATGCATGAATGTCATTGCATGAACATATAATGTGGCATCTATTTAAAATAAAAATTATAAAATAAAAATGTATGTCATTGCATTAATATATATTGGGGTATATTTTAATATAAATTTAATTAAATACTTTAATTAAAATAAAATACAAATAAATGTTAAAAACGGTTGTAGTGCTTAATGTTTTTATGGAAACCTTGATTCAGTTTTTTTCAGGATTCTTCAGTGAACTAAAAAGTTCAAAAGAGCAGCATTTATTTGAAATATATTTATTTCGAATATTTTAAATGTCTTTAATGTTACTTTGGATCTATTTAAAATCAAATAAAGTAAAATAAAAATGCATTAATGTCATTGCATTAATATATGTATTGTGGCATATATTTAAAATATTGTTTTTATATTATTTAAAGAAACATTCAACATACTCTTTCTAAACAAAACATTTCACAAAAGAGTTTTTTTTTAGGTTTTAAATGATAAAACTAGGCTACAGATATACCAAATTAAGAACAAACGTATTGCTTTTGCAATAAGTCAGTTATTTTTTAATAAAGATTTAAATTCAGTTGAAGGACCATAAAAGTTGTCATTTGATTCACACTCACTCAAAAAGGATTTGACTCTGCCGATGATAGTTCACATGATCGTTCCTTTCAATCTAGTCATCAGTCTGGCAGATTTAGAGAAAAACCCTCTTTATTTCTGTTTTTTAGAGTCACGACTGCCAGCATGTTAAAAGAGAGAGCCTTATGTTAAAGATGTAAATGACTTTTGGAAACTCTGTTAAGGCCAAAACTGGCACAATGCTTTTCATTATGTGTCTAGTTCACATTTTGTACTTTCAGACTTGTGGAGGAGAAAAACACATTTAATCAAATTTAATGAAATGCAACCGCATATGATGATGGCCGCTGAGTCATGGCAAAGTCTTACCAAATGTAGTTAGGAATGATATTGGTAATAGTGCTAATTTTGTATCAGATGAGCGAATGGTCTGTAACACTGACCAACTAGATTTGGTAATGAGTCTGTGTCATTGCACAGCAATAAAGACATAGATAGGCCTACACATTACTGTTTAACTGCACTGCTATTATGATATGTACATGGTTTAAATATGCTGTACACTATAGACTTATGATCTGAAAAATATTTTTGACTATACGTATAATTGGTGCGATTATGTATTTAATGTTTAATTAATGTACTGTAAATAATCTTCAGCAGGGGATTTCAAACAGGGTCCAGGGACCCATAGAAGACCACAAGAGGGTGCTATAGAAGGTGCATGGACAATTTGAGACAAAAATCATTTTACAAAATTTAGTTTTTAGAGTCATTAATGTCAACTGTATATACACTATCGGTCAAAAGTTTGTGATTAGTAAGATTTGTTCATGTATTTGAAAGAAGTCTCTTATGCTCACCACGGCAGCATTATTTTGATAAAAAATTCAGTAAAAATGTGAAATATTAAAATTTGAAATAATGGTTTTCTATTTTAATATATTTAAAAATGTAATTTGTTCCTGTGACGGCAAAGCTGAATTTTCAACAGCTATTACTCCAGTCTTCAGTGTCACATGATCCTTCAGAAATCATTCGAATATGATTTGGTGCTCAAGAAAATACTTCTTATTTGTATCAGTATTGAGAACAGTTGTGATACTTAATCTTTTGTGGAAACCATGAAACCATCCTTGCTGAATAAAGGAAAATTAAAAGAAATCAATGAAAAAAAAATGACAGATTGCAAACTTTTGAATTGAACACTTTATTTATTTATATTACTATTCACTTCGGCTTTCTAAAAACTGGTCAAAAATCATGTGAATAATGTTAATTATTTTATTCCTTTGGCAGCCCTAGCTTTTAATAGTAGAAAATAACTAAATCTTATATATACACACTACCGGTCAAAAGTTTGGGGTCAGTAAGACTTTTTTAAAGAAGTCTCTTATGCTCATCAAGGCTGCATTTTATTTGATCGAAAATATAGAAAAAAAACAGTAATCTTGCAAAATGTTATTACAATATAAATAATGGTTTCTATTTTAATATACATTAAAATCTAATTTATTCCTGTAATGCAAAGCTGAATTTTCAGCATCATTACTCCAGTCTTCAGTGTCACATCCTTCAGAAATCATTCTAATATGCTGATTTATTATTAGAATTATCAATTTTAGCAACAGTATAAATGCAGCCTTGATGAGCAGAAGAAACTCCTGTAAAAAAACAAAAAATCGTTCTGATCCCAAACTTTTGACCGGTGGTGTGTATATGTATATGTGTTTATGTCCCAGGGAAAGCAAGAATAGATAAAATGTGTACCTTGAATGTAATGTAAGTGACTGCCAAATCCATAAATGAAAAAAAAAGTAAATGTTTCATACAGTTTAACATTTCTATTTTAGAAAAGGGGTTCCTTGCATTGTTGTAATATTTGGAGATTCTTAACTTCAAAAAGTTTGAAAGCCGCTGTTCTGGGGCACTGAATCACACATACACTACTGTAAAAAAGTAGCAACAAGAGTAAATGAAGCAGAATAACACATCAGTGAGTCCTGTAATAACCACTGTTTATTATTCAAATGTTACGATTGAATTTACAGGCAAATAGGTAACAAGCAGAGGTGTGTCAGGTCCTTTGGGTGAGTGTTTCTCAATGCCTTGATTAAAAAAAACATTACACTCTCTAGAACCAAAGGACCACATAAAGACTGTGCAGCAAACACATACTCTAACTACAGATCACAAATACTTGATACTTTATAAATTAAAAATACTGTTTTATACATAAACGTGTACGTGTTGCACTTATGTCCACAGTGGTAGAGAGGAGAGGTCTATATCTAATCTAATGCTTTATAGTGGCACTTTCCATAGTTGAATCTCTCGATATGTCGGCTGAGGAACCGCTCAATTTAGCAAACCTGTAAGACTGTAACTAAAGGAACTACGGATGCGGTAACTGAAAGAAACAAACAAACAAACAGTGAAATGTACTAAACCATCATTTGGACTTCAACAGATCTCTTTAACTTAAGATGCAACGTCCACATTTAGAGGATTACGTCCAAGTGTTTAGGCACTAAAAAGATGGTTAGCTAGCAACATGTGATTAAGCTTACCATCTCAAGTAAAGCAAAGCATTCCAATAAATATGAAATATTCGAGACATATGTGGATGTTTGGGGGTGTGCAAATTAAAGGGTCAAGACATTACGCATCACCATCCGCTGAAAACTAGGTACAAATAAAATAAATGATAGAGCTATGATGCAACACTGAGCCATGTATACAGGCAAGCGTATTATACCACAGAACATAATATATATATATATATATATTATGCAGAAGTTTTGGCTGATTTTTTTTTTTTTCGTGAACCGATGAGGTGGCTGGTTGGGTCTTGGATTCAAAAATCAGCCGTTCCTGAATCATTTAAGCATATTTACACAAATAACAGTTCCTCAACTCTATATTATAATAAAAAAAGAAGAAGAAAAAACATTCACACAAAAATATAACATTTGAAATAATTATTAGCACCAGTGTATCAGATAAAAGGCTTGCTACACCAATGTACAAAGTTGCATAGTGTTGAGTTTTGCTCATGTTAATGTGTTTCGCAGGACACCTGTAATAAGCAGCAGCGTCTGAAAAATCAAAACAAACACAAAACTGAAATGTGTCGCAACCATGAAATGCATGAAGTCAGCTGAGCCATGCAGGGACTTTTAGTACTGAACAATTTATATACACATGAACTGAAATACTGTATTTACGTGTTCGACTCACTCTCAGTACCAAATCTAGCACGAGGGGCGACGAAGAGGCGCATTCCGAACAAATTAAGATTCCTTCACTGTTAGCTTTGAGCGAATAGCGTTACCAATGATGATATACACGAGCTTAAGTAGCAAATGACCTCAAACAAATGTCTTGGCATCTGATTAGGTCGTAATTTTGATTTGGTTGTAAAGACAAGAGATTTGAGAGAAAGAGCTGGAAATGGTGCAGTCATGAGGGTTCAACTCGAGGCCCCTAACAGCTCATGCACACACACACACACACACACACGGCCATTACTTGGAGTTCTCTTCACGTAGCATTTCTGCATATCAAAACATTAAAAGCTGCTTTTGTCTTCTGTTTGTAAAACATGATTTCGAAGAAACGTATAGAAATACAAACAAACAATAACCTAATAAAAGGAAATAAAATGCAATTAAAAGAATTTGAAACAAAACAAGGCCTGTTTTGGTTGAGGGTGGTGTCGGCGGAGGGTTTGGAGAGGGATGCTGAAGAACACAGGGAGTGTAAGGCAGATGTAGCGGTGTGGCGTGGAGAGGTTAAGGCCGCTCTAGAGACGGAGTGTTGAAGCAGCCTTCTGGCAGAGTGTTCTTGATGTCGTTGAGGTTAGCGATGTCCTTTCGAATGTCTTGGATCTGACGGTCGTAGTCGCTGATCATGTCCTCCTGGCTCTTAGCGATGTCGTTCAGCTCCTTCAGCTTCCTGTCCAGCTCACTTCCTGCCATCTTGTCCTTGGCATCTTTCAGGGCGTTTTCGATCCGATTCAGCTTGCTCAGATCCACCTTATCGATGTTGCCTGGAAGAGGATAAGGTGGTGTTATATTAAGGCGTGTGTTAAGAAGTCATACATTTCACAGAAGTGCATTCTTCTTGCACAGTATAACAAGGAAAATAAAATGATCATCATAAGCTAAAAATACTCAAGCTAAACAAGTTGAACTTGTACTATGTTATAATACATATTACATTACATTCAGGGTTTGAAATTAACTTTTTCACTCACCAGGGCTTATTTAATATATCATGATGAGTCTCGAGTTCAGTATTTACACTAAATCTGCGCAGATTTGGCTTACATGAACTTCCTCAAGAAATTAATTAGTAAACATAATTTAAGAAAAGTAACCCGCCAAATTGGCTAGTGATTTGACAGCGTTACCCGCCACAGCTGATTTTTACCCGCATTTGGCGGGTTGGCGGGTGTTAATTTCAAACCCTGATTACATTAGATTATATTATAATTTGAATTAGCTTTTATTTTTATATCTTCAATTTTCATTTTTATTTTGGTAAAAATTTTAGTAAATTACAATGCGCTTTTGTCATTCTTATTAGTTTTTATTTTTTTATATTTCCATTTGGCTTTATTTTTATTTCAGTTTAAGCAATTTTTGCAACTCAAACCTATTTAATTTCAGTTAGTTTCCAAGGCAAAATGTATAATTTTCATTTAATATTTGTATTTTATTTCATCTTTATTTCAATTACTGGAAACAATTTTTAATAGTTTTAATTAGTTAAAAATGGCAATCACTGAAAAAACTCATGATAAGCTAGAATAAAATATCATGATAACGCATCTTTAATCAGGCATCGAGGAAGGTAGATGAAATCTTGCATGACATACAGCATGATTTCAAACATTTTTTTTCAATTATTGGTTATTATGTCTGCCACAAAAATGTGGATTATTGATCGGCAACTAGAGTGTCTTACCGAGCTGGCTTAATAATTCATTGATTGTGCTCAGCACTGTCCTGACAGCATTTTTGGCTTTCCTGGCATTGCCCTCAGCTTCTTTAGCATTATCAGATGCCTGTGAAGAAGAGCAAAGTTAATACAATGTCTATAATAGGGTTTTAAAACAGATTGCACCCATATAGTCAAGGCCATAACCCACCATGGCCGCCATCATCATGTCGGCATCTGCCTCAGCTTTCTTCTTCTCTAGCTCTTTCTCAGCAGCTGTGAGCTGGTCCATCATGTTGTTCACCTCTCCATCCAGTTTCATGGTGTCTTCAAAAGCTTTTTCTGCATCTGCCTTTGTCTTTGCTGAACCCTGATAAAAATTTTAAAAAAAGGCAAATCAAATAAAGGCACAGTTTGATAAGGACACGGACATCCCACAACTTTATGTTTTTGATATTCTTCATCTGAAACTCAACATGTACCTTCTGCACATCATTAGCTATTTTCTCAGCTTCCTCTGCCTTCGTTTTCGCTTCTTTAGCATCTGCAGCTGCGTTGCCTAAAGCCGCCTCGGCCCGTCGGGTCTTCTCATTGGCTTCATTGATTGTCGCGTTGATTTCTGGGATTCGCCTCATGGCATCCTCAGCAGCAGTTTTGTTGTCATTGACTCTCTTGTCAAAGTCTAAAAGTAAGACACAAATTTTAATAAACAAATACATTTTTAAACACGTATTTACTTTGATATTTAGATCTTTATTTATCCTCTCTCTCTCTATAATATTTATTTATTTTAATTTTAGCATCATAAATAAAAGATATTTTACACAATGACCCAAGACCTCTCACCTCTGAGGTTGTTCAGTATGTCCTGGGCCTCCTGGAAGGTAGAGATGCCTTTTTTTGCTGCCTCCTCAGCCAAGGCCTTTGCTGCGTCTGCACGTGCCAACAACTGATCAGCCGTCTGAAGAAGACAGAAGCGGAAAGAGAGTTGGAAAACACAGAATTGTTGAGTTTTTACACTGCACTCTTAAATGACTTGTCTGGCTAACATTCAGAAGGTGAAATTCTGCACTTACAAGTAATTTACTGTGCTTAACATGAACATAATTACTTATAGGAATGAATAGCAATACTGTGGGGGAACAAATACGCAATATATTTAATATCTAGTCTAAAAGTAATCATGAAAATGCAATTGCATTGCAATTAAATAAACATTGCAAAAAGTAACTCACACTGTGAGCAGATTTCATAAGAGCAGTGTCATGGTTCAGCTCTTTCATTAAAAGCATGACTTTTAACTCAATCAGATTAGGATGAGACTATGGACTATCACTTGCCTCTCATCAGTATCATTTAAGAGGCTTCTGGGCCTCATGACATGTGTTTGACTCTTACATATCAACCATGTGAAAGAACTGCTAAACTGAACAGCAACTAAATATTCTCATCATTTCTTCAAAATCTTTAGACCACCATAACTGCATTCTGAAAACTAATTCCATAGAACCAAGACGAAACAAATCAAGTACATTAAAAGTCAAAAAGCATATGTACCTGTTGCTCAGTTTTTCCTTTTTCCAGTAGTTTGCGGACCTCTGTCTCTTTGCCCCTCAGGTCTTCCTTCAGGTCATTGTACTCCTTCTCAGTCTTGTCTATTAGTTTGTCCAGGTCTGATGCCTCCTTCTTTATCTTATGGGCCTCATCCTGAGGGAAATTCAAGAGACTGGATTATAGATGCATCCATGTTGATTGTGCAAATTCAGTAAGAATTATAAAACATCATGAAATCAGCACCTCTAATGTTTTGGTGTCGATTGGGGGCAAGCTGGTCAGGTTAGCGTAGATCTTCAGAGCTTTGTTTCCTGCCTCTTCTGCTTCAGCTTGTACTTTAGCAGCCTGTTTCTCCAGGTTCTTGGCTAGATCCTTTGCTTCGACATATCTGCGCACATATGAACAGCACTTTAGTTGTAAAGCATGACCATCTGCATTTAGAATATTTTAGACTTTCTTAAAATCAGATGACAGAATATTGGCAAGACAAGAAAGTCGCATAAAATGTGATGTCAAAGACATACTTCCTGTTGAGTTCATCAATGTCGCTGCTTGTCTTGTTCTCGCCATCGAGCGCCTTCTTCAGCATATTATAGGCCTTAGTGGAAGTGTCATTGGCGTCCTTTGCGATCTTCTCAATCTGATCTGCATCTGCTTTATGTCTGTGTAAAGAGTCATAGAAAAACGTTGAATAAAACTCTATTAGGTGGTATGAAATATCAATATTAACACAGCATGAAATACTGTAACTCACTTTTCGGACAGTTTGCGGGCTTCCTCTGCCAGAAGTGTCATATTGTTTGGATCTCCAGAGGTTGTGGGTATTTTAATGTCCTATGGGAACAGACGATAAGGATGAAAAAAAAAAAGAAGTATTGGCAACTAAGAGACATTTTAATGGACTCCACTACCATTAACTGAAGGTATTTGTGAGATATTACGACATGCTCTCTTGGTGGTGTAATAGAAATCTCACCACTTTACTGATGGCCTCCTTGGCTTTGTCCAGCTCCTCTCTAGCGGTGCTGATCAGGTTCTCTGCGTCACGGACTCGGTTCCGTGCTCGATCTGCCTGCGTTCCTGTGTTGTCCACTGTGTTCTTGATGTTCTGCAGTCGGTTCCACTGGTTGTTCAGGGTCTTGTTGATGTTGTTTAGACGGTCCAAAAGGCCTTTATCCACTTCTGAATTATAATAGTGAAAGATAACAGAATAATAATCATGTAAAGTGAAATATATCTGCTCTACTATTAAGTAAAATTATAACACATTTTTTTTGCCTTTTTAAAAATCTTTTAGTTTTTCTTATTATAGTTAATCAATATGATGTCCTATTTCATTTTTTTGAAATCAGATTTTTTTATTTTATTTGGCAGAATTATAGTACGTCACATTATTTGAAAGAATATTTTAAATTAATAATAATAATAATGATGATGATGATGAACACTACAACTATTAAAACTATAAGAAAAATTTTGAAACTTGCTCCATTGTCGGACAATACCTTTGCTAGCCTGAGCCTCTTCCAGTAAGTCCATTATTGTTTTCTCTGCCTCCTTCAGTCTGTCCTCAAAGGCCTTGTCACTCACTGTATTCTCAGCATTGTCCAGATTATCAATCAAATTCTGTAGGTCATGAAGCCTCTGTCTCTGCTGGTTCACCTGTACAGAAAAAAAAAATCAGGTATTAGAAGTTGTCTGTTCTGTTATGAAACAAAACGTCCCGTGTTCAGAAGATGATCTCTTACCTTGTCTCTGACCAGGCTGTAACAGTTGGGACACTGCTGGCAACCTGGTGTGGAGCGGTTGTAGAAGTAGTTCTCCTCACACATGTCGCAGCGAGCTCCCACGAAGCCTGGGCGACACTGACAACGCCCGTCTTCCTTGCACTGAGCAGACTCTGAGCCTTCTGGGTCACAGTCACAAGCTGCAAAAACAAACCAATGGTAAATGGAACAAATCTAAAATATAAGATAAATTATAAAGCAATTTTGTATTAAGTAGAACTGCTGTAGAAAGGCAAAAGAGCAGGACACCGTACGTTTGCAACCCGACGAACTGAATCCAAAGAAGTTGACCTCACAGCGCTCACAGTGTTGACCTGTGACCCCAGGCTGACACTCGCATTGGCCGCTAACGATATCACACTGACCGTTTGTGGAGCCAATAGGGTTGCAGTTGCATCTGGGGAAACAAATTTAAAGATTTGTTTTAAAAACTTGCAGTTCTGTCGAGCTTTCTTTTGTCAATGCTATATCACTAAGAATGAGAAAGAGAAATCAATCAATCAAATACCGTTCACAGCCCTTGCCGCTCTGATGGTTGTAGAAACCAGGATCACATGCACTGCAGTCTCTGTTAATGACATGGGGAATATATATATATATATATATATATATATATATATATATATAATAACAAAAACAAAAAAAACTTCCTTTAAGCTTGCATGACCTGATTTTTAAACCTCTGAGAAAGTATCATGAAATAAAAAGTAAAAAAAAACACTCACGTTTGCATTTGTCAGCTACATTTGCAGCACGGGCATCGCCGTAGAAACCCTCTTTGCAACGGTCGCAGAAGACTCCGGCTGTGTTGTAGATGCACTTGAGGCACTCGCCTGACTCTCGGTTGCAGTTGCCTACAGCATTGGGGTCGATGTTGTTGTTGCAGCTGCAGGCACGGCACGCCCTGACTGGACCATTTTCACCAAGAGGGTCCCCGAAGAAGCCATCATCACATAATTCACATCTCTTACCTAGAGACAGTTAAAGTTGGAGATCATGTGCTATATTATTTACTATGTTGAATCTCCAAACAGATTGAATGCTCAGAGCCACCCGTCACCTGAGAGCAGGTCGTCTTCCTGTCCACTGTACCGTACAGAGAGCACGAGCACGCTGCAGAGGTGGAAAAATAATTGTTTAAAAAATAAAAAGATTTTTTTATTTATTTTAGTTTTTATATATTTTATTTGATAAAATACATTAAACCTATGAAATATGAATATATTTTAAATTACTTTTCTATTTTAAGATGTAATTTATTCCTGCGATGGCAAAGCTGAATTTTCAACAGCTATTACTCCAGTCATCAGTGTCACACCATCCTTCAGAAGGATGTTGATTTGGTGCTTTTCTTATTATTATCAGTGTTAAAAATCAGTGTTTTATCAGGAATCTTTGACTAGTTTAGTAGAACAGCATTTATTTCTAAATCATTCGTAACATTATAAATGTCTTTACTTTTGATGAATATAATGCATCCCTGCTAAATAAATGTATTAATTTTTTTAATGGTAGTGTGTGTGTATATATATATACACTCACGTTTGCATTTGTCAGCTACATTTGCAGCACGGGCATCGCCGTAGAAACCCTCTTTGCAACGGTCGCAGAAGACTCCGGCTGTGTTGTAGATGCACTTGAGGCACTCGCCTGACTCTCGGTTGCAGTTGCCTACAGCATTGGGGTCGATGTTGTTGTTGCAGCTGCAGGCACGGCACGCCCTGACTGGACCATTTTCACCAAGAGGGTCCCCGAAGAAGCCATCATCACATAATTCACATCTCTTACCTAGAGACAGTTAAAGTTGGAGATCATGTGCTATATTATTTACTATGTTGAATCTCCAAACAGATTGAATGCTCAGAGCCTGTACCTGTGGTTCCAGTTGGGCAGTTTGTACAGACCACCTCTTTGGTCCTGGGCACCACGGCACACGTGGCACCTGCGGGGCAGGGACAGGGTTTACAGTCTGAAGATGAGCCGACTGTAGAGTCACCATAGAACCCGTCCTTACACCTCTCGCAGCTCATGCCAGCAGTGTTGTGCTGGCAGTTACACATTCCTGCAAGTTTGAAACAAAGATACCATGTAATACCACATATCACCACAAGATGGCAACATTTTATAAACACAAAGGCAAAAGTAGCACTACTACTCTGATTATTACTGCAGTATAGTATGTATAGAGTGAATTTTGGGTAAGCATGGCATATTTAGAAAAATCCAAAAATATGTATTTTCACAACTCTGTTTTGGCTTGAATGTAAATGTAATTTTCTTATTGCTCACAAGTCTTTTAAAAACTTTATGGGTAAAAAACTGTCAAAGTACAGACATTATATAATTAAATCACATCTTTTTTATTTCAATGGCATTCATGTTGCATGCATCCAGAGCACATGACTTTTCGTAATGCCCACATCCAGATAATATATAGTGAAATCAATATCCAGTCTCCTGAGAGCAGATAAGTAAATTATATATCAACACTATGGCAAAGCAGTACAAATAAGTCAGTTGTGATGACAAACCTGTCACAGGGTCGCAAGTGTCACTGTGTCCGTTGCAGTTGCAGGGCTCGCAACTGCTAAAGCGGCCCAGCTCAGGTTGGCTCCTCCTATATCGCAGATCGCACTGCTCACAGTGCTGCCCCACGTAACCCTGAGGACACGTACACCTCTCAACCCAACGAGCTGGAGTTCCAGAGCCACGGCGGGCAGTCATAAGGGACACGTTGTCTAAATAACCAGCACCTACAGCAGAAACATTATTAAGTTACTTAAAGTATCAGTTAAAATGACCTTAAGAGTCTTGCAACAGAGAACCCAAGGTCATTGTAATCCAACAGAAAATAAAACACCTTCCTATTACGTCTTAATAGAATGTCTCAAAACAAAAGCTATGCTTCAGTGAATTAGTAAACGTACTACTTGCACTGTAGGTTCCACGAATCATAACCGAAGTCAGATTGTGCAGAAGTTTCTGGAAGTCGGCGTGTTTCATGGTGGGTCTCCAAGGATAGTCAGTAGTGTCATGGAGTCTAATTGACAAAAGAGATTTTTAACATTACAAGTACATCAGATAAGCTAACCATATGTATAAATCAATTAATCTGCAAAAAGATGAATGACTATGAATTCTAAATATTTCATCTTTATGGCAACAATGCATGCAATAAATGTCACTGTATTATGATAAATTTGACTTTTAATTTTCAACATGAACTTAATATTCATAGAAGAATAAAATATTAAGCATCATTACTGAATGATGCTGAAAATTCAGCTTTGCCATCACAGGAATAATATATCAAAATATAATAAAATGGAAAACAGTTATTTTAAATTGTCATAATATTGCACAACATCAGTGTTTTTGTTGTATTCTTATGTACTTGAATATGTAAATCTTAATAATTTTTTTTTTATTAATTTGACTTAAGCGATTACCAGCCCTAGTTTTACTAAAAAGGAACTCAAAGACCTCACCTAAACACAAAGGTTTGTGTCTCCTCTCCTGGGTAGGAATTACCCTGGGCAATAAGTGGCACAGCAACACGATGCCCGGCCCCTTCCAGCACAACGTCCTCCGCTGAGAGTCGTGCATCATGTCGCTGAATCCTGAAGTTCAGCGTGAGGTTCTGACCATAGCTCAGCAGCTGATCACCAAGAAACTTCTCTACAGTAACAAAAAAGAAAAAAATCCCAGATGATTAGACCGGTCTTATTCATGAAATCTTCTGCCTCTTTATCATACAGAGGAAACCATGTCTGCTATTATACCTGGAGCCACAAAGTAGATGGGGAAGTAGTCTTCTGAGATGAGTGAGATCTCTCGAGTGGTGGGTGACCACTGCACAGGAATGCTAGAGCTGTCTCTCTGCTGTCCCATCCAGCCCTCTTCATCTATTCAATGACATACATAACAAATATTATTCATTCTCCATCCTCACAATCCTTTGTAACTGTGGATGATTTTACATTAGCACTTGTATAGCATTAGGAATTAGTATAAACAGGATGTAGACACTATTGACACACTATTGGTTGGATACTTACCCCTGTCGAAGGTGGAGGTGACTTTGTGTATGCTGTAGCCATCAGCACTTTCACACACAGTGGAATGCTGGAAGCAGAAGCATGGAGTACATCCCTGAGGATTCTGGGGGTCCAGATTAAAGTAGCCCAGTTTACACCTGAGAGAAAGAGGCAAGAGTTTAATAGTAATGAGACAGGATGGCTGATTAACTGATTTGTAAAGTTCAGGGACATTTTAATCATTTGAATTACTGTCATGCTAATTATGTATTTGAATTATTGTCCCATGTAAATACAATTATTACTACAGTTTTATTTATTTCTCTCTTTACACATTTCAAAACCACCATAAACACATCTGTGGCTGAAAACTACTTGATGAACATTTTAATAATTCATAATTATAATTTATTTTATTATGAAATATTATTTTAATTATTATAATGATATTTATTTTAATACAATGACACTTATAATTAAGATTTTACGTAACATTTTTCAAAACCACCATTCATACGTCTGTGGCTAAAACATTGTCACAAAAGGTGTAGTGAAATGTTGTGCCATGTTATGTATTTAGCGTTAAATTATTGAGGAATACTGTTTTTTGATTTGTATGTGGCCCCACAGGTTAAGTCATAACGTGTGGAGTGAGTTAAGTAAGCAGGTCATCAGTTAACATCAGTGAGATCATCGCTGGGCCTCTAAAAACAGGTCACACATAAATCAACAGCTGTCGCTTCAGCCAAACACTCCTTTCATCCTTCCCGATTCTGTCTTTTCATTTCTCCTCCTTTGTCTGTGTCTCATGAGTATATACTGCAGGGATTATCCAGTTCATGTGTGGCCAAACTCAGTGACTGATTGTCAGAGGAATGTCACAGCTGACATGTGAATGAAAAGGTTAGGTTTTTTTTGGGTTTTTTTTTTGTGTGCAAAGTGCAAGGCAAAAGCAGGCTGGAGAGCTGGGATTATGCAAAATCAAAATGGAAATGGCAAATATTTGGGATGTATGTTTAAATTAAGGGTGCCAATCAATGAAAAATCATCATATCCTGATTAATCAGTTGAATTAATCACAATATCAATACTTAAGAAGAAGAGAAATTAGTTGATTACAACACTGAATTGTTGTAATTACTGTACTTTATTGTAATGTTTCTTTTGCACTACCGTACAAAAATTTGTGGACAGTGTTTTTTTTTTTAAAGAATTGATCACTTTTATTTAGCAAGAGCACATTAAACTGATCAAAAGTAACAGTAAAGACATGGATAATGTTACAAAAGATTTTGATTTCAAAGAAATTCTGTTCTTTTGAACATTCCATTCATCAAATAATCCTGAAAAAATATATCATGGTTTCTACTAAAATATCAAGCAGCACAAAACTGATAACAAAAATAAATATTTCTTGAGCACCAAAACAGCATGGTGGAATTATTTCTGAAGGATCGTGTGGCACTGAATAACGGAGTAATGGCTGCTGAAAATTCAGCTTTGCCATCACAGGTTCTTCACACACTCGCTGGCATGGCCGTTACACTTGCACCTGGATGGGGAGGGGGAAGGTAACAGACCGGTCAGGTGCAAAAGGGCCACCACACAATGATAGGGCACACTTACTGTATGTGTACACATCCTGCCGTTGTTGTGCGTAACACAAATGTGCCGCAAAGCTGTTCAAACACAGAGCTCTGACAATGTTTGTTGAGCCTATCACTGAAACGTCACTGCACCTTTGTTTTGAGATTGAGTAGCTGATGTCTGTGTCTTTATCCTACCCACCCTTTGATACAGCAGGCGAGATTATGCAGTAGTACAGTACAAAACTACTACAGTATGCAGTGGTTTTAAACAGACAGTTTTTTGAAGCTGGAAATGTATTTAAACAGTTTTTTCGCATATAATGCAAAAACAGAAAGAATTAAAGCATCTTAAAAGCAGCCCATATGACTTCCCTACATTTCAAGTCTTCTGAAGTCATACGATAGATTTGTGTGAGAAACAGACTGAAATTACTTTGCATCTTAAATACAGCCCAAGACATCTGGAGTACTTTTAAGACACGTATTCTTTCTCCTTTTGCACTGTATTTGAAAATAGAATTAAAATAAATTTTTTAACAGTTAAGGGGGTTGCACACCAAATGAGAAGTGCAGAGCAGTGCCGCGGTTTTTTTTATTTTTATTTGAGCACAATGTTTTCTATGAGTGTACCCACAGTGGCAGTGCGCCACAGAGTGCCACTCACATGGCTTTCCATTAAATCACATTATATTTGTCCCAACTTATTGTTAGTGTACATAATGACTTCATCCTATGCTGGAAGATTGTGTATTGTGCATTTTCAGTAAAAACGTTTGTCTTTCTGTGCCTTGAATAAAGTCTGTATGTTTCATGTAGAGAGCTATAATAGCTATAATAGTTTTTTCAAACTTTCATTCTTGAAGTGAACTTTTGCCTGTTTGATGATTAGATTAAGTGTTTTGGACTACTGTCTTGAACTGAACGTGACGCGTCTGATGTGCGATACCCGTGAATTATCCAAGAAGCAGTGCTGCGCTTAGTGTCCAGTGTGCGCCCGCATTTTGGGCTGAAGAATTTAATAGATTTGCAACAGAATAGAACAGTTTGAGCCTGATAGTGCCATAATATTTTAATATAATTCTTTAAAACATTATGCATATGTAATTATATATTAATAAAATTAATACATTATTTAGAATATATTTCCAAAATGCACAAATATGTGTACAAGACTGCTTGGCATTTTTTTTATCCATTAAGAAGGCAAACTAAAATGGAAATGTATATACAGCATAAATTCTGAGATATGCATTGAAAAAGTCATGTGATTGAATAATATGCTCAAATGATTGGCTACTGTTACTTCCTTGAACCATCTATTTGCTACCATTTAATAAAATGTATAACATTTATTAAAAGTGTCAGTGGCTTCATCTTCAATTTCTGTTTTTCACAACTTTGCAAAAATTCTCTTTAACATGGGATGAGAACGCAGCTTTTATTTGCAAATTTTGATTTTTTTTCCTTTTTGTTTTTGCATAAATTAAATGTGCAACTTGGACAGAAAGCTACACAAAATAACATGAAAGATACACTGAAACATGAGAAAACTAGTTCTAAATCTTCACTGCAACTCGGATTAACAAAAATCAATATATTCAGTGTCAGTGTTTGGGCACAAAATCTTATTTGTCCTCAACTCCACTTATCATGAGCACACAGCAACAAACATATTCACCAACAAAGACACCTTGACAGAGGACTCAGAACAAGAGAGGGCTTGTGCAGCTAAAGCCACCTCTTGCACATTGTCTCAGGTGATCCTTGGCAAAGCCTCATGGAAAAGGTGACGTGAGGAATAACAACTTGGTGGAGGATGTGCACTCATCAGACGTGCATTCTTCCCTAATTCTAATATATATTTATCACAGATACAATAAAACTGCCAGGATGCTACGTTTCTGGTGATCAGATCACTTGAGGAACATACGGCTGTCCGTAAGCGCTGATGTGTCTGCTGGACAGGAGCCCACATGCCGTGAGGCAGCAGGTGTAAATGATTCCCTTCAGCCTCAGCCTGGTTCCCTTCCCTTTCCAGACTCTCTGCCCGCCCCATTCCAGTTCCACTGCGCTCTGTAATCCAGCACTCCCAGGCAAGAATGTAGGGAATGTGGGCTGTGTAATGGAAATCTGCTCCACATTTCAAACAGATTAAGGTGAAAAGACATGCAATGGTGCACCTAGAGATGTTTCACACTTGCTCGACATATGGGCTTCTTCAGCATGTCCTTCATCTCTAAAGCTCACCGTCAAGAGTTTATAGATTCCACAGACAGGAAGTAAAGAGGTAATTCTTACATTGTTGTACCTAGAGTTAAGATAATTGCATAGGAATTAATTGTTTTGGTCCTTTTTTGCATACACAACTGAGCAAAATGGTTTAAAACAAGGAATTATTGTGCTATTATCTATTAACCAGAGGCTTGCTCTCACAGAGAGTGAGTTTTCCCATACAGAAAGATTTAAAAATGAAGCAATGCATCCCAATCAACCTATTTCGCTCAAAGTGTGAAAGCTCACACTGCAACGATCTAATCTTTCAAAGTGGTGGTTCTTTTCATTTTTTTGTCTGCACACTGAAAAAAACTCATATTTCGGGTCACATGTCCAGCATTCCAGATGGAGCTGCTGATATTCATGTAGAGACCTGCGCGGGACAGATTTTTCAGTCCTGCTCCCGCAAGATTCTGTCCCGCACCTGCCCGCTCCCGCAGAAATATATCTTATCTGGTCCCGCTCCCGCCCGCGACATTCATGTATTGTCCCGCTCCCACCCAACCTTAAACCGCATAAACACATTTCATTACACCAAATACACAAAATAATGTTCTTTTTAGCAACATCATATGACCCCTTTAATCACCACTGATTGGCCATTGCGTTCCAGAAATCAACAGCTGAGTCTGTGAATGGCTACATTGCACAACCCTTTAAATACGTGTTATAAATAGAAACTATGCCTAGCTTGCGCATGTCAATCATTTTAATGT